ACAGGCCAGACTCACAGTGCATGAGGTTTAGGGCCAAAGACGGTAGGCAATCCACACACATTGCCTTGCCCTAGATGGCTCTGTGAAGGACTAGCTGTTTTTCTATTCTAACCACCTGTTTCCAACTCCTTTGGTGAAACTAAAGTAGATGCACCTATTTTAAGATCTGAACGTCTCAGAAATACCTGCTTTATAGATTCTGACTACCTGTCCATTTGACTGATGTGTAAAAATATCAATAGTTAAGGACCGGCCGACTTCGTTAGGTTTGATCCTGCATACAGCCAGCAACTGTTAACTCAGACCAATCTCTTCCCCTCTTTCTCCCCAGACAAGGAGCCAGGGATCCCTGGGCCACAACCTTGAAAAAAGCAGCAGCCACAAGAAATGTGACTTACTCAGAAGGAATGGTCTCCTTCCTGCCGGGAGATGGGCCCTGCAGCCCCGTGCGTGCCCTGCACGCGGCCCCGTGTGTATGTGGGAGCAGCGGCACTAGCCTGACATTCCTCTACGCTGAGATTCCTTTGGCTTAAAAATTCTGATAAAGAATAGAAATCAGTGTTTTATATAAATATCTTATATTTGGGCACTCTTCCTAAAACATAACTGTACTGGGGAGGCATAAGAGTACTGAAACAAACAGGTGGTATGTATTTTGAACACAGAATACTATTTTGGAACAGGGCGGGCCCAGATAATGTCACCAGGGAGAGTCCCAGGATACACAAGAGGGCACAAGGCTGAGTACAGGGCAACAACATAGGATTTCAAAAACAAACTTTAATTTACAGGCCGGCCCTTCAACCAGAAAAAGGATTACTTGGCTCCTGTCCTCAGAATTGGGGATATTAGTCTGAATACTGAAATATCAGCTCTGCCAAATAGCGCTAATGCAGCCCTCTTAGGTTCAACCTAGGAGCTGGCTATCCCACACGATATTGTTTGTATAGAAAAGTTAGTGCACATTCAGAACTACTATCCCAAAAATGAGTAAAAAGGGAGCCATTTACTTAAAAGTGTACTAGGAGCACTGCACTAGGCATTTTCTGAGCATCATCTTATTTGTCACAACAATTCTATGACATATATGCTGTTCTTTTTTTTTTTTTTAATTAGAACTCATTACCTTTATTTTTAAACCACAAAAATATTTTAATGTGCTTGACATTGCACTAAAGATAATTTGATTCATGTATAATATCAGATATGGGACATTCCTATCAAACTGAATCATTTAACTTAGGGTGTATTTGTGTGGGTGCCTTTTATGAAATAGGTTTTTAAGATCTCTGGGTTTTACTATAAACTTTGTTCAAAATACATTTTATATTTAACTGTTTATAAAATAATATATACTATATGGAATACATATTTATGCATAAACATAAATATTAGACATGACAACATTTTCTAGAATAATAACAGAAGTGTTACCAAATTGAAGAAAATACTATATACAGATGCTCCTTCACTTACAATGGGGTTACATCCCAATAAACCCACTGTAAATTGAAAATGTCCTAAGCCAAATATGCATTTCATATACCTAACCTACTCAACATCACAGCTTAGCCCAGCCTACCCTAAACATGCTCAGAACACTTACATATATTAGCCTACAACTGGGCAACATCAACGTGCTGTTCTTATTCCTATCTTGCCGATAAGGAAAGTAAAGCTAAGTTACAGGCTAAGTTACCTTATTGAGACCACACAGTAAAATAACTGGCATGCTCCAAAGAAGACATACAAATGGCCAACAAGTATATGAAAAGATGTTCAACATCAATATTAAGGAAATGCAAATCAAAACCATAATGAGATATCACGTCACACTCTTAAGAACCAAAAAAAAGAAAGACAGAAAAGGAAGTGGGTAATAGAGCATGTTGCGAGGATGTGAGATACTGGAAACTTCCGCAACACTGCTAATGGGCATGCAAAATGGCACATCCATCATAAAAAATCAGTGTGGCAGTTCCTCAAAAACTAAAAAAAAACAAACCACAAAATTATAATATGGTACAGCCATTCCACTTCTGTGCTATGTATCCAGAAGAATTTCAAAGAGTCTTGCATAGATAGGTGACTGTACACTCATGTTCAGGGAAGCATTATTCATGACAGACAAAAGGTGGAAGTATGTCCATCAACAGATAATCATATACATGCAGATAAATTACACACACACACACACACACACAGAGGAATACTATTCAGCCTTAAAAAGGAAGGAAATTCTTACACATTCTACAGCATGGATGAACCTCGAGGACAATATGCCAAGTAAAATAAGCCAGTCACAGAAAGACAAATTCTGTATCACTCCACTTATAAGACGTATCTAGAGTAGTCTAATTCATAATGACAGAAAGCAAAATGGAAGTTGCCAGGGTCAGGGATGTGGGAAAGAGGGGAAGAGGGAGTAGTTTAAGGGGTACAGAGTTTAATAGGTATAGGGTTCAGTTTTGCAAGATGAAAGTTCTGGAGAACGGTTACACGACAATGTGTATATACTTAACAGTACTGAACTGTACCCTTAAAAATCACAATTATTTTTAACTCAACTCAGACCTAATTCTAAATTCCATACTCTTTTCGCTATGACCTTGTTGTTTAACCACATTCATTCATTCAGCAAATGGACGTGTGCCTACTTATGAGCCCAGCACAAGTACCAGAGATGTGTCCGGCAGTAAAATAGACACAGGTCCTCGTGTAGCTTAAGTTCTAGCCAATACAACTGCTCACACGTCGCCAACTGTTCAGCACTGCTTCCGTGTCGTGTCGGCGTGCTCCTCTCAAATACTCCTAAAAGGAGGACTGGCAGAGCTGCGGCCGCCTCCACGGCATCCGCACGCAGCCACCTCGCTCTCTGCTTGCTTCCCGAGGGGTGGGACGCCCTACTATCTTCCTTGATGATTCTACTGAATGCCCCCAAATAATAAATCTCCGTGTCCCAAGACTCACTAATCTAAATCTATTTTTTCTTTATTCATTATATACCTACTATCATTTTACATTGCTGATTTTTAAAAAGGTAAAAGTAGTAACAATATGGAAAACCTTCAGATTTTAACTCAGGATTTCAACACATTATTATTTAGCCTAGTTAAGTATGATTATTACTCACATCATTTACTAAACCTCTGATTCAAATCCAAACAAGTCAAATAATACCTTTCAGTTTCAACTTTCTGGGCCTCCTCTGTTGCCTCCAAAATTTAAAGACCTACCAACCCATTCTCTCTCCAGGAGGTTGCGTAAGTTCCATACATGGGACTCAGACAGCCATTTTACTCCTATAAAACCATGAATTCAGAAATATTCCCCAGTGTATAATCTAAGCCCCCTGCCCAAGACAAAGAATAAACTCATAATTAAAAGAAATTTTTAAAGGAAAAAACAGACTTCACAGACATCTATTAAATTAGTATTAAGCATCTTTTTCTTCAAGAATTAAGCTATCAAGTTTTCCTAAGAAAATAAAAAAGGTCCGTTTGACATTCACAAAGGCATCTTTCCAATTATATTTAGCAGCCTAGAAGATTTAACCTTTTTTAGCAGCTAAGTTTTTTATATTCTGCAGCTTCTCTGATTTCGCAATTAGAGCTGTGAGTTTATATCCAGATGACAACAGTGCCTTTGATGAAACGCTCCCAAAACTAAGGGGAATGCAAATCCAAGAGTATCGCCATCTCACTGAGCAGACACAGTAGCTCGAAAGTGAAAAGAAAAATTATGCTAACGGGCTCTTCCATGCAGATTACCTGCTTTATTGAAGCGCTCTCATGAATATTAAAACTTATCATATTGATTGCCTACATTCCAAGCCTCAATCAGATTTCAAGGACCTTACTATAAAAATGTCCCACAAATAGTAATAACCAGAGTTGTTTTCACTCCCAGGAAACCACTTAGGAGCAGGATTCTTTTCAAATTGTGGAAAAGCAGGAAAAAAGTGAATGATCAGTTTCCCTTAAAAAAAAAGCACCATAAACCTTTCTTAATTAAAAGGGTAGTTATCTCCTTCTTAAAATACGTTTTATCATGTTACAGGTGCATTCTTATTGCATTTAAAATTTTATCCATGATTGCACGTATGGCTATTTTTGCATGACATTAAAATACATATTATTTTTAACAGCCACACTCTTGTATTAAATAAATATTCAGTACCTAATTGAAAAAACAAAAAAAAAAAAGAGTACCACAAATTAAGTTTCACCAGAAAAACACTGTTTGCTATTTAAAATGATGTGCCTGACTTGAAATGAAAACTGCAACAGGGGCACTAAGGCTTACTTCTTTTAAAAACCATCCCATTTAAATGTTCACAGCACACTGTCAAGTGAAAAAAGTCTAGCTTTCAAAAAAATCTGTGTTGCTGTATATGCCTTAGTTATCTTCCAAAAATAGGGCACTGCCTTTATTCAAGGGCCTCACAACATCCATCGGAGAACTCTTTCTTTTACTTCACCTTGAACAAAGTAGGACAGGCAGCTACCCCAATGTTATTAAACATCCTGGGGGTCACAGAAGAGCATTTTATATTTAGGAACATATGACACAAATATGGATGCAGTATGTCTATACTATATATACATATGTATATTCTAGTATGTATAGAATATAGGCTATATGCATAGAAAAAGTCTGAAAAATATAAATTCAAAATTAACAGTGATTACCGCTAGATGATATAAAATCTATAATTTAAATTTTGTGTTATCTTTTCAAACTTGTCTAAAAGAAATGCTAAAATTTTTGTTTCTGTATTCCACTGAACTGGTTTCAACAGCAGAACTTTTCCTTAGATGGTATATCTTTCAAGTTCTACTAAGGAAGAATAATTTTGAAGTTCTCTGCCACTTTTCTAAAATTATCAACATTTCCCGGTACTCCAGTCAACTTGTTCCAAACAAAAGGATGTTAAACACATGCCAATTTCCATCCCCCTCAGCTTTTAGACACTGAAATCCAGCTCCGTGCAGGGTTACCTTCGTCATACATTTCTTCTATTAAATAGGCCTCTGCCCGATCTTTCAGCGCATTCACGTTGTCAGGTTCCACCTGTAAAACTTCAGAACACACTCGAATAGCTTCAACAGGCTTCGCGTCCTAAAAGTAAATGTGAGAAAGGATTTCTGGTTTCTATTCCATATGTTTTTACATTTCTGGGAATCATGTAAATGATAGCTGGGAATGGGTCAACTGTTACCTTAGAAAAGCAGTGGCAAATCCTTTCTTTTGAACGAATTGTGTATTCAGAAACACTAGGCTCTAATTGCATGACAGATTCATATTTGCTGGTCGCATCTGTGTATCTATTAAATGAGCAAATCATGATGAGTAACAAATTCTATTTCCGGAGCCAGAGGAAAACCCTCTATTCTTCACTCTATGTTGCCTAATCAGTTTACCTGAATAAGCACATGCTTCCAAACACTACTTTTACCTACTGTAGCAAGAAACGTACTATCTGCAAACACATGACCACAGAAAATGATAAATCAGAGCATACCTGTGAGTATCAATCAAACCACCTGACGGATTTCTCTACAGAAAAACGCCTATGATTTTGACACTGAGTAAAACACCTCATTCAAGTCTGACTTCCATGGAGCATGTTCAGCCAAACAGAAAAGAAGTTTTATTTTTTGGTCACTCTAACTTTCATGATATAATGGAGTCCATTACATACATGCTATTTTATACAATGCATATTAGTATTCACAGCTAAGTACAACGTACTTTCCTGCAGAAGGAACCTGCTTAAATTCCTAACTATACTAGCTTTTCGGAACAACAGAGCTATTTCAGCATTTTAAGAACTGTTGTGCAAAGTACTAGTCCTGCTATACACTAAGTTACTTTCCCAGTAATGGCAAACGAAAAGATAGATATTGTGGCACATGATTCCCAAAGGCTGTAATCTTCAATTTTAAATGCTAATGTATTAAAACACGGCTTTAAATATAACATTTAAACAGAAGCTAGCTAGCTGTGTCAAAATCCTCGTTGGGATACTGTTCTCAAGTTTTCCATGATGATAAAACAACTGCAGGAGACTGCAGAGTATGTGAGACCTTGCTTCACTTCTTACAACTACATGTGAAACTACAATTAGCTCAAATTAATCAATTAGAAATATACTGTACTTTAAAAATTAAAAAAACTAGGTTCTGGGAAGGTGGGATCAATGTACTTTCCCCAAGTTGTCTAGCTAGGTACAAATCAATATCCCAAACATTAAATATTTTTAAAACTATGGAAAGGCTCAGAAAGGGAAAGAAGGTAGACCGCCAGAGCCCCCTGGACCTGAGGGAAAACAGCCTGGTAGGTCCCCCGAGTTGCTTTTCTGCCTCCTGTACCCCTGGCTCAGGGCGGAGGAAGCCGGCAACCCAGAAACACCAATGGGCACAGACAGACACAGCCCCAAACCAACCAACGGAAAGACCTGGAAAGAGCAGCTTAGCAACACAGAAACCTCTTTTTTTTTCTTTCCTAAATCCTCACCCAAGGACAAGCTTACTGATTTTAGAGAGGGCGAGGGAGGAGAATAGAGGGAGAGAAACACTGAGGTGGGACACAGCAGACACGGGATGGACCTGCAGCCCAGACGTGCACCCTGACCTGGAACAGAACCCTACACCTTTCCGTTTATGGGATGACGCTCCAACTGAGCCACACAGGCCAGAGCCAAGACAGAAAACTTCAGGCAATAATGGCTCTATTCCAGGCAACCACCAGAGGAAATCACGGCCTCGCTCGCACCCACGCGGGCAGGTGCCATGGAGAGCGTGGACTCTCCTGGTGGGGCAAGGCAGGGTACGAGAGGGCCAGGCAGGGAGCCAGGACCTCCCCGCAAGCCGGACATGAGTCCCCACCTGCTCACCTGCGCCAGGCAGCAGCAAGAAGCCTCTCACATCTCGGACCCCCACGAAGGCTGAGTGGGAAGCTTCTACCCTGCCCGCCCAACCCCTTTTGGCTGGAACAATGTCTAGACACCCTGGCCAAAATAGAAGATTATGTATAAAACACCCTTATAAAATGAAAATGTCCAGGTTTCAATTCAAACCCACTCATCATACCAAAATGTACAAGTCACAATAATCAATGGATACTTTTCCATATTAATACAGAAAGACAATAAAATCTTTTTGTTTGTAACGATTAAAACATACTGGCTTAATAATTTACCATACATTTTTGTATTTGGTATTGTACCATGGCCACACTTACTAATTCAAAAGGAACAGATCACAAACCGAGTACGACAGACTCTAACACCAAGAGGGCAGACAAGTTACAGAGGCCTGATAACAATTTAAAGCGGCCATGGAAAAAGCAACAGTGACAGACAAGCTTAAAGCAAACAAAAGAGAACAAAAAAAAAAATGTGCCTCAACCAAGAAATAGAAACTCTCAACAAAGAGAAGACATAAAATAACCAAACAGAATTTTTAGAACTGAAAAAGGGAAAAACCATAATTAAAAAGCTCACTGAATGTACTCAATAGCTGACTGAAGGAGGCAGGAAACAATCAGTGAATTGGAACAAAAAGGACCAAATCTTAACAGAGAGAAAATAAACTGACAAAAATGAACAGAGCCTAGGAACCTGTGGGGCTAAAACAATAGAATTAACACTTGTATCAATCAGAATCTAAGAAGCAAAGTATAGAGAGGGAAGGGCTGAAAAAGTACTCCAAAATATATTAGCTGGAAACTTTCCAAATTTGACAAGCTATAAACCTACATATTCTAGAAAGTAAATAAAGTCCCAAAAGGATAAACATAAGGAAATGCACATTGAGACACATCATAATTAAACTTACAAATCTAAAGACAAGGGAAAAAAAATTCTTGTAAGCAGTTAGAAAAAAATGATACTTATTTTTAGGAGGAAAAAAACTATGAAAATGGCAATGGATTTCTCTGTAGGAATCATGGAGGCCAGAAAGAAGTGGTACAGTATTTTTCAGGTCCTATAACATAAGAACTGTTAACTCAGAATTCTATACCATGGCAGCGGGAGGGGGCCGGGGGGGGGGAGACTCGATATACTCATACATTTCTATCACTCTGCAGACCACATTTCTTTTAATAATCAATTTATATGCCTGTCTGCCTCGCTGCTCTGTAAGCTTCTTAAGACCAAAAACTACAGTCACATGCATTTCTGCAACCCCAGTACACAGTCAGTACCTGATAAAGAGACACTCAATAAATATTTGGTGAACTAGAAACAAATCTGGTAAGAATACTATGCAGTTACTATTATCTATATTCCGGCTTATTTTTAAAATGTACAGTTGTGGTAGTTCTGTTTAGTGCCATCTAAGATACTCCATCCTCAATTGCTAAGGAGTAAGAAAGCAAGCACTTCATGAGGGAACGCTAGAGAGTCTAGATAAGCGCCTTCTTACCGGCCATCTCTGATGAGCTCTTCGGCTGACTCAATCAGCTTATTAAGTTTCTTTACTTGTTTGTAGTGTGCAAAACACCTTTTATGATCCTGGTCAAGTTTAAGACATTCACGAACTTCACTGCTCATGTATTTAAAAAGAGGAAAATTTACAAGTCACAATAATCAATGGATACTTTTCCATATTAATACAGAAAGACAATAAAATCTTTTTGTTTGTAACGATTAAAACACACTGGCTTAACAATTTACCATACATTTTTGTATTTGGTATTGTACCATGGCCACACTTATTAATTCAAATGAAAATGATTTAAATAGTTATACATTAAATACTTTATTTTGCTTCTACAAACATAATATCCCTCTTTATTTTAATAAGCATAATTCATGAAAATAAACTATGTGGAGGCAGAATAACTTAAAATGTATAAATAGATAATAGGATGTGAACATAAAATATTTAAACAGATAATAGAAAATAAAAAGTCTTAACCACAATTTTAATTTAAAATTGAAAAGAAAATGGGATTATCATCTTAGTGCCACAACAAAGAGATGGCGTGTGTCACTAGAACCGACCTGAGGGACAGCTCATGGTCTCCGAGCTGATAGTACAGTGTGCTGATTTTATAAAAAGCCTCAGTGTTGTCATTCTTCAATTTTGATGCAGCTTTCAAGTCACTTATCGCTTTCCTAGGCTCCCCTTCTTTTATGAAACACTCAGCTCGAAGTTCCCGTAGCTCAGCATCCCACACACAAACCTTGAGAACAGTAAATCATGCACATTTATACTTGTATCTCACATTTTATCTACATATTTATCAACATAAAACATCCTCGATTAGTGTGATAACTTCTATATGGTAAATAGTATTTAAAAGTCTGATACAATAGATGTGACAGAAATAATTAGATGTAATAAAGTAATTTCTCCAAGAATATGTAAGGAAATTCTAAAGGGGACGGAGATATATGTACCAATAAAACCTTTTATTTAAAACCCTTCTATAATTGTGAAAGTTTAAAAATAAGAACACGTGGCATTTATTGTTAGAAGGCTGTTCCCAGTGAGGCAACTTAAGAGTTTGAAGAGAATATTCTGTAATCAGATTTTTGCATTTAATCAACAATTCTAATTTCTAGTATCAACAAAATTTAGGTTCTCAATTTGCAAAATATTTTTACTAATAACTAAATGTAATTCTCTTTTGCAAATGTCATCTCCTTGAAATTAAATCCTCGTATCACACAAAAAACAAGAACGAACAATGTGAGGAGGTTGAGGCTTCATCATTTCCATCTTATTCTTCAAAACGTAAACCAAAAAGCTCACCAGCGAGGCCTGTAGATGTGTGACTACGCGTTTCTTAGAGTTGTTCTGGGGTCACGTCAGCCTCTCACGTGTATGAACAGATCGAAATCAACATCGGCCATAAATTAAATATAACTGACATTAAGCTAGGTTGAAATGGATAGTCTAAATGCCAGGAGGTAAAAATTCTAACTGTATTTTTCCTTAATAAAGCATTTACAAAATAATTCAGTAAAACCTGAATGGCACTGGGTCACATCCTGGTTTCCTCTATAAAATCGTCCAAGTGCCCATTCTACGTACCATCATGAGTTTACGGCCAAGAGTAAATGAAACTGCCTATGAAAGCACTGTGGACATGGTAAGAACAACGGAATCGTGACCGCTTTCGTCTGCACGCTGTAGCAGACAGGCGACCTCCTGAAGCCGTCCGCCCTGAAGGCCTTCGAGGCGAGGACACCGCAGGCCCGTTTCCCAGTCTAGAGCCGTCTGCAACTCCCAGCAAGTCTCCGTCTGCCTTCTTCCCTCGAAGCTTCTTGCTCTAAACGCTTCTGTCTTCCCAAACATTATTTTTCCTTTTTCTTAACCAGCTTTCATCTCCTACCCCATTATTTAATCTCTAGAGTTTTCTACCCCTCCAAAAATGTAAACTCAAACAAACAGCAAAGCAAGCAATGTGTAAAAATACGTAACTCCCATTCCACAGCACATTCATTCCATTTACTGGAGACTTCAGTTCCAAATTCTGTTCTACATAAACACCATCTTTCACTGAAGAGCTACAAGCCCTAGGGCCGATCTGATTTTATCCCATCTAGGTTTCCTGTGGTACATAACACATCAAAGTGCATAATCATGCCCTATCGTAAAAAGCAGTACATGTTAGGCTTGTCAGCTGCAATATCCAATAAACTTACCTCTAAAATCTTATCAAGGAAGGTTATAGCAGCAATATAATCTGCGTTTTCAAAAGCATCAAGGGCTTGGGCACGCAAACGCTGCATTTCATCAGATTTTACAAGTTGGGACTGGGCTTCCCGTTCTTCATTTTCACTTGGATTAGATTTGAGCTATAAGAATAATAAATTAAACAGGGTTCTCAATCTCTTAAGTCTCATACCCATAATATACACAGATATCTGACTATCCAAATACTTAGGTTCATTGGGAGAAAAGGCTGGAGACACTGGCAACACTGGCTTGTCCGCGGACTCTCTCCTGGTGCTACCAGCACGGGAAACACAGCCAAGGCACCCGCCACCGCCACGGCGCCCGAGAGCCAGCGCGGAGCTGGAGCCGCAGGCCTGGTCCCGGTGCTCACCCGGGCGCGAACACTTCGGGCATGTGAAAGTGCAGAGAAGAATGAAACACGATGGCCGGCCCCTTTCTCACTTTCGTATGTGTAGCACTGGAGGAAATAACTTGAGTTTTATGTATTTTGCCTTCTAGTTATACCTTCTAAGTATTTTAAATATAAAATAACTTTAGGTAAATAAGGAACTGAACTTTTCCAGGAACTGAAAACTTTTTCAGGGAAGCTGAAAAAGGAGGTTTTTAAGAGGTTGTAAGACAGAAAAAGATTTCATGTCAGAGGGGCTCCAGTGTAATAAAAAAGGAAGAATTCACAGGGAAAAATAAGAGAGTAACACCATTATTTAAAAGGCTTATGACATAGTTTTAAGAGGTATATACTTTGTCTCTTTTTTTAACATTGTCCAGGTATAATTTATATACTGAAAATGCACTCATTTTGAGTGTGCGAGTCTATGGTTTTCGATCCATTTACCAAGGGTGCAGCCGTCACCCCCGTTTCCGGCCGCTTCTGTCGCCCCGCAAGCCCCCCCCCCCGGCCCCCACCACCCGTCTGCTCACAGCGCGCCCCTCCCATCCTGTTCTCCTGCACAGCATCTCTTAACCAGGTCTCCCTCCAGATGGAAGATCTTAAATTTAATGGCTCAGAAAATTGGATGCCTCCATTAAAAAGCTACTGACTTTTTTTTTTGGGGGGGGGGGTTTTAAGATTACAGTTTATATGTAATAATTCCTGAAATCTAATATTCTTACTAAGATAGGAATTGTAGTTGATGGGTTTCAATTTTGGGTGCGGTACAGACAATGATAGATTATTTCTAGTAATCTCTCTCCTTCAATTGACCGATTATACTGCTTCCCATTTTAGTGGATTCATTTTTTTAAAACGCCCCATATCCACCTGGCAGGAGAAAGCCACCCCAAATGAGACACCTTAGGATTATCATCACTTAGTAGAGACCCTATAGTCTCCATTTGTTTTGAGGATACTTCAGGTATTGTTTTGTCTGTACAACCCTTGGCTTTTGAAGGAACAGACAGGACTCCAAGTAGTCACAGGTAAGTAGGGAGGGCTTGGTCCCCTCAGCTTGCTCATGGGTGCACGGTCACGCATGACTGAGTTACCAGCGGAAGGGAGTTGTGCCAGGGCCGTGGAATGCTCGTCTAGGGCTGTCTCACCGGCAACCCCGGGCTGGTCCTGAGTGCTCCGGCAGGCCGCGGTGGGCGGAGCACACACGTGGGTGGGCTGCACTATGCTCCCCATAAAAGGGGAAGCTGACTGATAACTTCCGTACCTACACGAGCGCTCCCTTTTGTATAGAATGTACTGTGATGAATTAGGGACTGCCTCTCCTCTCCAAAACCTGGGCGTCTAGTCGCTGCCGCACAGTTTTTCTCGTTGGAAGGTGAGGGCCGGGAAAGCCCTCAAGGTTGAGGATGGCAGGCTCAGCTTCGCTCCACATTCAGACCATCGGGCCAGGAAAGAGGGAGTGGGCACAGGCTGTCTGGGCTTCCTTGGGACCGGGAGGAAGGGAGGGAGGGAGGGAAGGGATTCTTCTAAGCAAGTAAGACAGGAATTTGAAAAACAAACCAAGGACCGACTTAGAACCCTGAAGAGGTTCAAAGAAGGTTAAGAGAGATGAAGACCTTCCCTCTCACTACAAGGCTGCTGACTCCGCCCAGCTGTCCTCTTCTGCTCCATGGTATTTACAAGTAGAGGTTGGACCCTGCTGGTATTTCCCTCTGTCCCTGTTTCCTGTGCCTTGATATCCCTTCTCTTCTTTACTGTTTTACATTTCTGACTCTTTCAGCCAAACCTCTGTGACACTATTTTATTTCTTATTTCTAACCATTCACTGTGGTCACTGAGCTTTCAGATCAAAACCCGTGATAGCTGTGGGGTGAGGGCTGGGAGGAAGAGATAAACCGTTCTCTCTAATCCACATCAACCCCTATTTCTGAGATGGCAAATGAAATCAGGGGGTTGGTACTTGCAGAGGGAAGACTTCTAAGACGGCCCAAATGAGCCCCTCCTCCTGGAATTCCTACCTTTGTATGATCCCCTCCCCCTTGAGCCCAGGAAGAAACTGTAACTCCTTTTAACAAACAGATTATGATAAAGGTGATAGGATGTTACGTCCTTAATTAGGTACAAAACACTGTTACTTCCATCTTGATAGATCAGTATCTCCCCCGCCCCCCATCTCTCCCTCTCTCTCTCTACCTTCTCACTGGTTCAGCTCTAATGACTCAAGCCACGGTGCAGTGAGATGCTTTACCGAGAGGCCCACAAAAGAACCAAGGGAAGCCTCTGGCCAACAGCTCGAAAAACTGAGGCCTCAGTGTAACTGCTCAAGAGAAACTAAATCCTGCCAACAAACAAGTGAGTTTGGAAGCAGTTCCCCCACCAGCCCAGCCTCCAGATTACAGTGCAGCCCTAGCAGACACCTTGACTGTAGCCTGTAAGCGACCTGGGAGCAAAGGGTCCAGCTACACCTGCCCAGATTCCTGACCCCATGAACTGTAAGATCATAAATGTGTGTTGCTTTAAGCTACTAACTTTGGGCAATTTGTTACACAGCAACAGATAACTAATAAAATAGTTTTACCATTTCTCAATGGCCAGGTTATGAGTATCTCCAAACAGATTTTGTATTATTAATGTTTTAAAATAAAGTCTAAATGGAAAAAGGTTAAGCCCAAATCCTGCCCTTAACATTTATTATTTGTACAGTATCTGCATTTTCTTCACTAATAAAAAGGGGGATAACACTACCTTCACCCTGAGTAGTCATTGAGAAATTATGAAGATACTCCATGAAATACACAGCAAGTACTGCAAAAAAAAATGGTAATCAAAATTCCAAACTCCTTTTGTAAACTTTCTAAAATATATAAATTCATATAAACCCTATAGCAGTGTTTCTCAGAATGTGATTTGGGGACCCTTGGGAGTCCTTAATACCTTTTCAGGGGTCTGTGGAGACAAAAGCCACTATGGATACAAGTTAAAGAACCCATTCCAAGTAGAAGATAAGTCAATGGATTTCATTATCGCAGAGTACTAACAGTTCACTGGCAAGATTTCAGAGTCTGAACTATAAGCACTAGTGGAGGTTTGGTATAATATCAAAGAATATTCATAATTACCAAAAAAAGCTATTAAAACATTCTTTCTTCCCAACCACTGATACGTGTGAGGCCACATTTTCAATAAGACTTCAACCAAAATATAAATTAAATCTGGAAATCTGTCTTCAAGGAAGCCAGGTATTATTAGAGATTTGTAAAAATGTTAAAGAATACCACTCATTACTAAATTTTTATTTTGGAAAATAGTTATTTTCAGGCTAAAAGTTATCTATTTTAAAATACAGTGAGTTTGTTACTTTTAAATTAATATTTTTTAAATTTCTGAAATTAATTTCTAATACTATAAATACTGATAAACTAAAGCTCTTTGGAGCCCTCAGTACTCCCCAGTATAGTGGGTTCTGGGCCCAATCCCGAGTGCTGCTGCTCGAGAGACGCAGCATGTGCAAGGGGAACGGGTAAGAACATACACTGGTCTCGCAGAGTATGAAGTCAAATGTTTGTGAAGTTCATTAATAAAACATACCAGAAATGAAACAGGGAAATGTGAGGCTATAGCGCATTCCTCCTAATGGTAACACAGCAAGAAGAGATCTTCAAGATTCCAGAAGAATCGCTTGTTCCATCATGCAGTTCTAATCAACCCGACACCTGTCCCAAGTCTCACCTCCTCTAAGCTTCCCTAACTGTTCTACACTATGATAGTAATCACCTTTCTCTAAATGTTTGAATCACTCAAGAGATGCTTAACCATGGAAGTAACCTTAGGAATCATGTTGCCCAATCAACTCCCACTTTATAAAATTGAAAATACTGAGTCTCATGAATGTTTAGTAACTTGCCTGGCATCACACAGCCAAATCAGGAGTAAAAAGGAGGTAGGTCCCTCACAATCTCATCCTGTTACCTGGATACACTCATGTCACTTATTACAAATCTCTCTGCACTCTTATTTTTCACCTATTTAGGGCTTATTTCCTCCAACTAATAAAATGTACTCTGCTGAAGAGCAGCACGTATGTCTTAATGCCGACTTTGGGTACTTTTTTTCCTTTTTCATTTATTACTAAGAATATTACCCATGAACTAGGTTTTACTGTTTCCAATTACAGATAAGGAAATTGAATGATTATATAACTTGCCAGAAATCATGCTAACATTCAAACTAAGGTCCCTATCTCCAAAGCCCATGCTCTGGACCACGGTGATGATAAAGATCAATCATGGCAACAGAAAACCTTTACTGAGAACTTTCTGTGCTCCAGGCACTATTCTCAGCTAAACCTAAAACCCTAAAGGGCATTTCAGATCATCTCCCTTTTACACAGGACACTGTGGCTCAAAGTCATTTCCAGAGCCTATGTTCTGAGGACTTTTTTTTTTCATTGCTTTTAGAGAAAGAGAAACAATGAGAGAATGCTGTTCTTGAGCATCTTCCCAAGTGGTAATGAAGATTAGATATATAGAAAATGACATCCAATGTTATTAAGGTGATGAGACAGCTCTGATTCAAAACAATTAAGTCTAATTTTTTTTTGGATTTTTCTGCATATAACTGAGTATTGTGATAAACGTTATGAAAATGTTAAAAATTTCAGTTTTGTTGTCATAGTAGTTATCATCATGGTAACTAAGTATTTTGATAAACTACAAAAATGTAAATAATGAACAATGGAGTCTACATACATCTCTTTCAAAACCACTGCAAAAAAAAAAAAAAAAAAAAACCATCTAAAACAAAAATGCAGATCTTGAAACAAGGCCACTGAAGGCATTAAGACATTGGACTGGCTCGCTCTCTCCCTGAATCATTTTTCAGGATACAACCCCTTCAATTACATATTATCTCTGTAACATTACCCCAAAAATTCAAAACACTTTACACTTTCTTTGGATGGAAATCAGATGTTTTATGTAACGCTACAAACACGCTGCCTAGCAAAATAAATGTTTGTTAAATGAACAAATGAGTGAATGAAGTGGAAAGAGAGTTCTCTGTTCCCTTCACCCAGTTCCGTAACTTTTCATCCTTGCTCAGCTGGTACAGGTTCTTCTCATGTAACAATACAACAAAGCTAGTCATGAAGGGTTGCCAACATTTGCAAGTAAAAGGTCAGTCTGTCAGAGATGCAGGACTCTACTCCACCGTCTTGACCGAAATCCTCACCAACACTTTACACTTTACACTTTGAGAAGTAGCCGTATGGGGTAACTGCAAAATTCCCTTTTAAGAATGTTTCATTACTTCTTTCAAATTAAATAAAGGGCTTCCCAAATCACTTAGTGGACTTTTAGAATAGCTCAGCTGACATCTCTAGCTTCTCATAGAAGACAAAACAGAGAATGTGAACTATATAAACTGAGTTAGGATTGTATATTTATTCTACAGACTGTACCTACCCCTACCATCTATTAAAGTGGCTTTCTGATGTCAGCTACTGACATCAGAAATATTAATTCAGGAACTACGATTCTTATAAACACAAATCAAGTGATTTTTCCTTTAGCTATAAAATTATTATTAAATGTCTTCTGCCCGGGCTGGTGTGGCTCAGTGGGCTGAGTGCCAGCCTGCAAACTTAAAGGTCGCTGGTTCGAATCCCAGTCAAGGCTCATGCTTGGGTTGTGGGCGAGGTCCCCAGTTGGGGGTGTACAAGAAGCAACTGATTGATGTATCTCTCACATATCAACGTTTCTCTCTCTTTCTCCCTCCCTTCCCCTCTCTATAAAAATAAATTTTAAAATCTTTTTAAGAAATAAATGTCTTCCTATAAAATACAAATATATTATGTTCACTCAAAATAACAGGTTCATAGAGTCACATACAAATTCAACTTACCACTTTTTTAAAATCATCTTCTGCTTCATCAAGTTTTCCTTGTTTCAGTAACAAGTGACCTCTCTGTAATCTTGCCTAGGAAAAAAAAGGATGCTCTGAGTACAATGCATTTCCTGAATTTTCTTTAAACACAAAGAATAAAATTAAGCTAATGAAGTATTAATTAAATATTTATTTCCCAATGCCAATTTGACCTGGCACTCTAAGGATACTTCCCGGAACCAATGAGTATGTATAATTTTTGATAAAGTGTATTTCCTTAAAAATACTTTTTGCTATACCCAAAAAACCTGAAAATATATTGACACAAAATCTTGTACATGAATGTTCAGAACAACAGTCAAAAAGTGGAAACAACCCAAATTCCCATCAACTAATAAATCAATGAGCAAATGTGACCTATCCACAAAGTGGAATTATTATTCACTCATAAAAAGGAATAAAGTACTGACAGAGGCTACAACATGAACCTTGAAAATATTATACTAAGTGAAAAAAAGACACAAAAGGCTACATATTTTATGATTTCATTTATGTGAAACACACAAAACCCACAGAGGCAGAAAAATAAGTAGTTCCCCGGGGCTAGGGAAGGTATGGGGGTGGCTGTTATGAGTGAAAACTGTTTTCAGTGAAAACAGCAAAATGGCAACTTGAAACAAAGAAATTCCTAGGAATATACAATCTTCCAAGACAAACTCAGGAAGAAACAGAACAGACCAATAACTACTAATTAAATCAGTAACAAAGAACTCTCAACAAAAAAAAAAAAAAGAGTCCTGCACCATATGGCTTCACAGCCAAATTTTACCAATCATTCAGAGATAATTCCTCTCCTTTTGAAACTATTCCAAAAAACTGAAGAGGAAGAAATGCTCCCAAGCTCATTTTACAAGGTTAGCATTACCCTAACACCAAAACCAGACAAAGACACTATAAAAAAAAGAAACTTTTGGCCACTACCCCTGATCAACATAGACGCAAAAACCTTAACAAAATATTAGCAAAGCAAATTCAATAATACATTAAAAAGGTTATACAGCATGGATCAAGTGGAATTTATTCCTGAAATGCAATTGTAAATGGTATTGTAAATTGTAAATTGGTTCAATATCCACAAATCAATTAACATAATATAGCACATTAACAAAACCGAGGATAAAAATCATACGATCATAATAACAGATGCAGAAAAAACATTTGACAAAATCCAACACCCATTTATGATAAGAACTCTCTACAAAGTATGGATACAAGGAACATACCTCAACACATTAAAGACCATATATGACAAACCCACAGCTAGCATAGTACACAATGGTGAAAAGCTGTAAGCTTTTTCTTTAAGATCAGGAACAAGGAAAGGATGTCTACTTTCACCACCTTACTTCAACACAGTATTGGAAATCCTAACCACAGAAATCAGACAAGAAAAAGAAGTAAAAGGCATAGAAATTGGAAAGGAAGAAGTACAACTGTTATTATTTGCAGATGACACGCTATATAGAGAGAACACTGTAAAGATTCCACTAAAACACTATTAGAACTAATAGACAAATTTATTATGCGCACCCACAATTAATATTCAGAAATCAATTGTACTTTTATACAACACTAATGACTATCAGAAGAGAAATTAAGAAAATAATACCACTTACAAGTACATCAAAAAGAATTAAATACCTAGGAATAAATTTAAGCTAGGAAGTAGAAGACTGCCACTTGGAAACTGTAAGACCTGAAGAAGAAAGAAATAAATGGAAGGATATACCATGCTCTTGGATAGGAAGAATTAACATTGTTAAAATGTCCTAATACCCAAAGCAATCTACAGAGTCAATGCAATCCCTATACAAATACCAATGGCATTATTCAAAGAACTAGAACAATTAATCTAAAAACTATATGAAACCATAAATGTCCCTGAATAGCCAAAAATCTGAAGGAAGGAGAACAAAGGTGGAGGTCTCATGGTACCTGACATCAAACTATACTACAGGCTGTAGTAATCAAAACAGCATAGTACTGCTATGCAGACAGACACACAGATCAATGGAAAAGAACAGAGAGCCCAAGTATAAACCCACAGCTTTAATGGTCTGCAACAATGAAGGCAAGTATATAAAATGAGGTAATGACAGTTTCTTCAGTAAATTATGTTGGGAAAACTAGACAGATATATGTTTAAAAAAAAGAAAAAAAACTAGACCACTTTCCTACACCACATACAAAAATAAAATCAAAATGGATTAAAGATAAATATAAGACCTGAAACCATAAAGCTCCTAAAAGAAAACTCAGGCAGTAAACTCTTTGACATCACTCTTAGATAATTTTTTGGATATGTCTCCTTAAGCAAGGGAAACAAAAGAAAACAATAAACAAATGGAACTACACTGAACTAAAAAAGTTTTGCGCAGCAAAGGAAACCATCACCAAAATATAAAACAACCTACTGAATGAGAGATATTCTAAGGGATTAATATCCACAATATGTAAGGAACTCAAACAACTCCTCCAAAAAATATATACCGATGGTTAACAGCCATATGAAAAGAGTCTCAACATCATTAATCATTAGGAAACACAAATTAAAATCCCAATGAGATATCACCTCACACCTCTCAGAATGGCTACCATCCATAAAGCAATAGAAATCAATACACAACTGTTAGTGAGGATGTGAAAAAAAGGAAACCCTCGTGCACTGTGGAATGGTAAATTGGTGCAGCCACTATGGAAAACAATATAAATACAACCACCGTACGGCCCAGCAATTCCACTTTTAGTATTTATCTAAAGAAACTCAAAAACACTATTTTGAAAAGATATATGCTTCTCTACATTCACTGCATCGTTATTTACAATAGCCAAGATATGGAAGCAGCATAAGTGTCCACTGATGGATGAATAGATAAAGAAGATTTGGTACTTATTTATATATACATTGGAGTATTACTCAGCCAGTAAAAAAGAATAAAATACTGCCATCTGTGACAACATGAATGGACCTAGAGGGTATTATGTTAAGTGAAAAAAAGTCAGAAAAAGAAAAATACCATTTGATCTCATGTAGAGTGGAATCTAAAAAACAAAATAAACAAACAAAACCAAGTCACAGATACAGAGAACAATTTCATGGCTGCCAGATGGGAAGGTGGTTGGCAGGGAGGGTGAAAAAGGTAAAAGGGATTAAGAAGTACAAATTACCAGTTATAAAATCATGGGGATGTAAAGAACAGGATAGGGAATAGAGTAAATAGCATTGTAATAACCATGTATGATATCAGATGGGTACTAGGCTTATTGGGGTGAATCCTTTGTAAGGTATATAAATGTCTAATCACTATGTTTACATGTGAAACTAATATAATATTGTAAATCAACTATACTTAAAAAATTTAAAAACTATTATGAGAGAAACCACATAGATATTTCACTAAAACTTATATATTACTTTTATGATACATAAAATTTCCCTAGTCCTCTGTTAAATGCATCAATACACATAAAAAGCAATATTAAAGCTACTTCAACCAGCTAATAGCTACTGTAATACTAGGATAATGAGCTACTTAACCTTTGTGAAAGGTTGTGCTTAGCTGTGTAAAGTAATAGATTAAATAATATTAGGTACTTGGGAATTCCATCTTGAAATAATGGTAGTATTTTAAACCAAACATTCCCCCATATCTAATTAGTTACCTCAAATTCTTTTTGGAATATGGCAGGATATAATCAATAAATGCATTACCAAATTAATTTTGCAACCATCTAACTGGTCCTGTTATTTTAAGCCATTAGGCTGACCTGTCAACCCTCCACTTCTAAAGCCTGCATGCTGGTTTCCGGGGAGAGTTCTGTCTAAGGCACACAAACCACTGCTTAGCTGGGTTATCTCCCTTTATTTCTTGCTTCTGCTACAGACTAATGGTTGTTAGTTACAAACTGTTGTTAGTTACCTGACAGCCTCTTAACTTAAGGGTGGCGGCTTGGTCAACTTCCTTATCAGCCTCACTTGTTGCCCTACACTCCAACCTCCACACAGAGGTCTTTCCAAATGGCAAACAAGTATCACTGTCAAGATTTTTAAAACTATCCAATGCACCCACTCTTCCTCCTTCATGCAGAGCTTTGATGCCGGGGCTTTGCAGGTCTCTTGCTGCCCAGCTCACTACACCACAGGGGTTTTCCAAACCGCCCCCCCCGCCCCCCCCCCCCCCCCCCCCCCGGCCCCAGCTCTGTCCAGCACACCACTCGTCACCTTAAGAAACAAATGGCCTCTTCAAAGTTCCCTTCAATTCTCCCTTAAAGAAAGCTTAGGGGCACTTACTGCAGTGAAATCCATCTTCAATTCAATCACTTTAGTTAAATCGGGAAGGGCTGCTTTTGATTTGCCCATAGCTAAAAAGACAGTAGCTCTCCGATAGTAAGCAACATAGTTATCTGGGTCACCATCTGAAAATTAAAATAATAAACGTTAGTTCTCTGCAATTTATTTGAAAAACCTAATCACCTGAACAATATTCGAGTTTGCAATTCTATTAAGAAAAGAATTTCTTCCTCAATAGTAAGTCATGTTTCCTAACAAGATCACTGCAAATAAACCCAGAACAGAGGCTGGAAAACTGTGGCCTCTGAGCCAATCCAATCCACAAACTTCAAATAGAGAATATTTTTACATTTTTAACGAGTTGTCAAAAAATAGAAAAATATGCAATAGAGCCTAACATATCTATTACCTGGCCCTTTAGAGAAAAAGTTCGCCACCTCTGGTCTGAAATACTCACTATATTTACTTCATAACTTTGTCTTTACTGAAATTTTCTTAAGTGAAATACTGACTGAAAATGTGGATCATACACTTTTTCACATGATTTTAGAAAATTACAGACTTCCAATTAAATTGACATATTGAATGTGCAATCTCTGCTCCTTTACAAACACCAACAGAAATGGGAGTGAAGAAATAAAGGTACAAACCTTAGACAAAGAAGAAGACTGGAAATGAGAGTGAGTCTAAAGAGCAAGGCTAGAGAAGTTAAAATATCTGACAAAGGATAGCAGGTGGATGTTAGGTTTTTGATCTAATTCCATTCTGCTCAGCACCTACAAAGTGGGGAATGAGTAAATTCAATCAAAAGCAAACTTCATGCTGCTTAACAATCCTTCCAGAAGGTAACTTGGAAATATATAAAGAATATTGAAAATGATCTTGACCAAATCTAGCCATGTATCTGAAAAAAAAAAAAAAAAAAATTCTATGCACACAGACGTCTGTCATTACAAAATTTACCACTAGAGGTTCTACCCCTGAAAGTCCTATCATTTGAAAGTCCTTACAGTATGGAAATACATACGGCAGGACAGTGTAACTGAGCAAACTGGGGCTCGGCCACACGGCACCGGGACAAACAACCCAACAACTGGGGTTGAAGGAAACAGGTTAACAGGATTCCAACCTGGGGCGGGGGGCTGAGAGCGCGCCTGCTCAGAGCCCTGTTCCCCCACAAAACCAAACACTTCCCTGGCTCCCCAAAAGGCTCTAGGCCCAAACGATGCCCAGAAGCTCCCCATGTCCTCATCTGTTGTTAAGCCGGCTGTGCAAACAGGTCTCCACCCCCGTGGGAAGGCGCTCCCGCGGGTCTCGGAGGCGCCGTCCTCTCGCAGCAGCCCCCTCCTCCAGGGTCTGGGGCGCGCTCTTCTCAGTCTCCGTGCAGCGGTTCAGGGAAACAGGCGCCGTGCTACGCTGGGTCATGGTGGAGTCCAGAGAGGCACACGTCCCAAGAAAGGGGCATCTCCAGACGTCCTTCAGAGACGCTGAAGTCTGCAGCTCAGCACTCCCAGTGCCAGTTCAGTCCCACCCGTCCCTCACGAACCCGTGCTCGGCTAAGGCGGGACCCCGCCCGGCTCCAGCACCTCTGCCGCCGTCTTCTCCTTCCTACTCCAGGCCTCGTGGCGCATTCTTACTTCACACGGTTTGGCGTTCCCTTATGAACCAGACCTTGTAGCCAGACTCCATCCTACACCCTTTCTGACCATGTGGCTTCTTCCTCCTTCTCCCTCAGCCTGCCCTTATTTTAAATGCTTGGCCTGGAACTTCCAATGTGACCTCATATCCAGCCCCTCCTAGGATGTGATATTTTTGCCAGTTCCCCCTTATCTTTTACCTTCTTTGGACTGTCATCTTTAGTCAGGGCAAGAGTTCCCACTGACACACGGGCATTCGCCCCTTCTGGCTGTCACAAGTCACTACATGAAAGTCACGAACACGTTCACCCTAGCGCAAACTTCTCCATTCAGGAAAGGCACAGCTACCGACTTGCTATTGTTATGCAAAGTATCTTAAATGCTGAATCATCTACTTCCCTCTTCTCCAACCAAGGGTTTGTGGGGGTATTCTCTTATTTTCAGGGGATTCCCAACTCTGCACCTCATTACAATAGTATATAATCATTCCAAATTACTGTTTTGAGCAGTTATGAACGGCACTGAAAACTACCTGAAGTACTACCAGGGGAAGGCGGACCAGGAGAGAAAACCACCCAAGCAAGAAGGTGCGCAAATGACCAATAAGCACAGGAAAAGATGTTTAACCTCACTAACCACTGGAGAAATACAAATCGAAACCACACTGAGATACCAGTTCACATCCATCAGGATGAAAGAAGGAATTAAGGAAGGACTAAAAAGGCAGGAAAGGAGGGAGGCAGGGAGGGAATAAGTTCTGGTAGGATGTGGGCCAAGCGGAGCCCTCGTGCACTCCTGGAAGGAATGTAAAATGGTGCGGCCGCTGGGGGAAGTTCCTCAAAAAGTAAACGCAGAATTACCATGTGAACCACCAATCCACTTATGGGTATGTTCCAAAAAAAGGGAAAGTAAAGTTTAAATAGACATATGTATATTCTCATGTTCATAGAAGCATTATTCGCAACGGCCCAAAGATGGAAAACAAACGTGGTGTATACCAACAATGAAATATTATTACTTAGCCTTTCAACCCAGGTGAACCTTGAAGGCATTATCCTGTGTGAAATAAGCCACAGAAGGACAAGTATTGTATGATCCCATTTCTATGAGGTACTTCGTCAATTTTATAGAAAGAGAAATTAGAGTGGTAGATGCCAGGGGATATACATTTCAAAATGTTTCACGATGAACACAAAGTACTTTTATATTCATTAATTAAAAAAAGAAGAAGGAAAAGTTCTCCATGACTTATTTACATTAAGCAAAGAATAAGAAATAGTAGGAGTAACATGATTTAAGGGCTGGTGTTCACATCACACCCCACCCTCTTCACATGTCCAAACCCGACCCCACCTCTGAGGCACAGCTCGAACGGCCGACCTGATGATCACAAATGCGATCACACGGAACCCCAGCCTTGCCTGGACACAAAATGTCTTTCATTCTGGCACCCAGCTAACCCAACTCTACCCCTTCGTTCACTCAAACTTTAACTGGGCACCGACCAGATATTAAAATAAAAAATAATAACACTAATAACAAGACAGTACCTATCCTGAAAAGCTCACAATCTCTTGACGGGGGATGCCACCTCTGGAAAGCCACGAGAGCCCTCTCCGTTTCTTTCCTTCTGCCTGAAGGGGAACAGTCATGTCCATCCCCATTTCACAAGTGCGGTTCAAATGTCATGAGAAAGCACCGCATGTTTAAGTGACAAATAAATGTAAAGATGGGATTTTGTTTATTGATTTAGCAAAACAACGTAAGTATGATGCCGGCTTTCCCCGCAAGCACATGGGGAAGCCCAGCATTTCAGCCGTGCCCACTCTGGACATTCATTCAGACCAGTATGCCTAAGACATTCTGAAGGTCTGCTGAAGGAATGACTCCACCCCCGGAACTGATTTCAGACCCATGGACCATAAGCCCCGGCTGTGGGAAGGAGAGGCGGGCCCTCCTCACACCTGCACTGCAGGTTTCTCTAACGAGAATCTCTAAACAAAACTTGTGTCTGACTCCATCACTGGAAAATGAATGCAACTGTTTCACAAGACAATTTGAAGACAATCAACACTCTTCCTTAAAGCAAAATGTTTCCAACAGATGAAGAATATTTCCCAATCAGTTCTAAATATTAAAACCCCTGCCAAAAACATTTATTTGCCAGATACCAAAAAATTTCAGACCAATCACCGACAGATCTGTACTGCAAGGTAGAAACAATTATTTGTGTTGCTATGCAGTTTTAATACATAAGCATTTTATTGTGTAAAAATGTAATCATCAAACACACTATGCCCAAGTAATTTTCAAAACATATCAAGTGATTTTTCAAAAATAAAAATGGAAGAAGGGGTGTCACAACAATAAATAATGCCTGCAACATTATAATAAAAAATGATTCGTTGATACTCACTATGCTGCCAGCCAAATTCTATTATAAACTTTGACATCAATTTCTAATCACGGATGAAGTTACAGAAATAAAGTACATTATAAAATTTAGACGTTGGGAGGTATGACTATTTTTATGGAGAGGTAAGCACTTAAGAAGCTTCTTCTATAGTCGGTTTAAAGCAACGTATCAGAACAAGGATGCGCTTCCACTGCAGGAGACCAGGGCGCACTGGGAAGCGGCCAGCTCTCCGACAGGCAGCAGTGAGCGCTCAGCGACCAGTCAGAGGCTCCCACCTGCTCCCTGGGTTACCTGAAGCGGCCGGTGTGGCCACACTGCATTTGGCGTTTGGTAAATGAGACAACTGAAATGGAGGGTCTATACTTCTTTTCTGATAAATACACGTCTCTTGAGGGATTCAAGAGGTCCTGGCTGACACCACGCTACCTGATCACTATCTACATAACATAGATCGTCATCTTACACAACTTAAACTTTATTTTCTGCAGTTTGTTATGAACAACCAGTGTTTTAAATACCCTAAAATGATGAATGTCTGAAACCACATACGTCATCTTCAGAAATGGGTACCGTTTGAGAATCACTGCTACTCACCAAATTAGGGACAAAGTGACACTGCTATTCTAATTCTGAATGCACACAGTGTTTCACTTTTTCCCTTTACTAACCTTCACAAATAAATTACTTTACTTTAGCTTTACCAGTTTACATCTTTCAGTGAAGACAGTAATATTTTATTGGGTATTTTGGGGAAGGGTCAGCTCAAAAATTTTTGTATGGCAGGGAAGCTAAAGAAAAAACAGGCAGTCATTTTAAACTACTTTAACAATATGCCATAGCCCTTAATGTTTCTGCTAAATGTGGGATTAAGGAAAGAAAATAATAGGGCATAAAACAGGTAGAAAGCATAAGTTTCTGCAAATGTTCTTACGGCAGTAGGGAAGGGACAATTCTTTTTTTAAGACGCGCTTTATCTAAGACAACAACTGAATTTGTTTAATTACCATGCTGCAGCACTGACAACGGTTCAAATCACCAGAAAACTAACTGTCCCACTGATGCGCTCAAGTCATCAAGAGAAGTAAACTATATTTACTGAAATCTTTTAAGAGGGCTGAAAATTATGTAATACATTGAAAAAGCGTTCTGTCAAAATTATCTTGAATTATTCCTGGTATTTATAGCAGTGCATCTCAGTTACCTGGAAAACTCTCTCATGCTAAATAAATACGCACTTAAGTGTTATACATTTATTTTACTAATCTAATTCATTTAGGATCCTGCAAATATTTTTAAATGTTTAATTCAAATGTTATCCAAACAACAGCTATTAATTAGAAGTCACTAAGACGGCCACTGAGTGTTTTGCTTCCAAGATACGAACCTACTGCAGCGTGAAACTGCGATAAGGCATCAGCCAGCTGTCCAGCTGCAAGTAATTTCTTGCCCAATTCGAGATGTTTCTCAACGTCTGCATTTACTCCACATTCAGCACCTGAAAACAAATTTTTAAAAAAGTTAATTTTCCATGGACCAAGATTTAGTGGTAAAGAATAAAATATTAAAGCTATAACTATCTGTCTCGCACATTTATCAGATGGGAAAAGTAACAGGAGCTGAAAAGCAAACTAAAGAAAGCAGCAATAGAGCACATTTTACAGAGTATAAGCAACCCAAGAATACACCGTATCAACCTGGTCAATGAAAAGAATGAAACCAGTCTACAAAATATGAGAGAAGTTGTATAACAAACACAGCAGTAGTAAAAATGTTGCACAACAAAATTAGAATTGTTTCTGTTAAACTAGACTCTCTAACAAATATTACTGAGACCACTGCAATGAACGTTCAAGTACTTGCTGTGCATCCACAATGCGTGGAGCAGTGTTCCAAGCAGTGGGATAAGGGCACAAAAACAAATAAAACCTGTGCCCCTCACAGAGCCTGACACTGTGGGAAGAGACAGGCGTAAGAAATAAGTAAATGACATATCAGGTTAGGGGGTAAGGACTATGGAAAAAGTAGAACCAGGTGACAGGGGTCAGGGGTGCTGGGGCTTTCAGTATGAAATGAGGTGGTGATGGGTGGCCTTCACTGAGAAGCTGGCATTTGAGCAAAGATTTAATTGAAGGAAGTGAGGAACTCAACATGCTGATACCCAGGAAAAGAGCTTTCCCAGAGGAACCAGCCAGTGCAAGGGCCCTAAATCAGGAGCAAGCCAGATTATGCTCCAGAAACATCAGGGAGGCCAGAGTGGAGGCCACAGAGCCAACAGGGCAGAGCTGTATGTACATGAAGCCAAAGTAGAGGGCCCGACTACAGCCAGCCTCGGTTTCACCGCGGTAAAACGGGGAGCTACAGAGGAACTATGAGCGAATAACACGATCCGACTAATCAAGCCAACTGTCAACGTGCTGCCTCTCTTGCTCTGAAGGTACCCTTCAGTCCCCGGCTACACACAATAGCCAGGAGTCTTTAAGCATTTCCTTACACAGCACCACAATGCCATGCTTTGTCAGAAAAAGGCACTGAAGGGGCACTGCAAGGAGGACACCATCTGGCTGCTCCTGCTTCATGGTACGCATGGGGCGGACAGCCAGTGGTCCACTGGCCTAGCCATATGCCCAGGGGCCCAGTCCCTCAGCAACCCGGCAGCCTTGGCCAGACACAGCCTCCCAGCAAGGACGCCATGCACTCCAGGTTTCATACCCACAACACCTATACTGGGAGGGTTATTTCCTGCTTGCCCAGCTACTGTGGACCAGCTCTTGCCTTAGCAACTCAGCAAACTTTGCTACCAGCAAACTTAGGCTATAGCCATTCCTCCTCCAATGAGGTCTGCGCCCCAGCCAGGGGGAGGGTGTTAACAGCCAGCCAGCCAGAGCGTTGCAGCCAGCGGCAGGGTGAGCACGGGCCCAGCCTGCCACTTCGTAGAGGCGGGCCACACGGAGGCTGCTTAGAGGACATGAGCATCGAGATTTAGGGCTGCCTGGCCGACTCCAAGCAGCTCCCCTAGATGTGCAGGTGCTGTGTGGAGGGTCAGGAGGTGGACTGAGGGCCGCAGCATCTCCAGGCCCCCTGACGAAGGGTCCTGCAGCCAACCCCGACGATGACTCTGGTACCGCAGACAGTCAGGGGGCACTGGGGAGTCTCCCCCACTGGCCAAGGTGGTGCAGAGGCACGTTCTTATACTGAGCGCACCAAAAGCTAGAAAGATAACGGGATAGAAAAATAAGAAGTCCTCTCCCTATACAAACTGGAGGCCTGAGCAGGAAAGGGAGGAGGTCTTTGAGATGGGAGTCCACCGTTCTCTCAGGCCCCAGCACCTGAATAAAACGTTTTTCTTTTGCACTAGCCCCTGTGTCACAAGTTTGGCTTTCACTGCATCAGGCAGCCAAACCTGAGTTTTGGTTACAGGGGGTCCCCGCCTCCAAGTTGGCCCTTCCTTGGAAATGTCTTTCAAGTTCAGAATATCGTTTAGAGTTCCCTTTACATCTTTATAGTTACTCTCCTATCACCACCTAACAATTCTTTATATTAAACTTCCCTCTTTTTAAATTACTATGCAGTTCCTGTCTCCTGAGAAGACCCGGACTTATACAACTAACATTGGGAGTGGCTCCGGGAGACAGAGCCACAAAGATGGGATATGACAACTGATCGTGCCCTCGAGCTCAAGTGCAGTGCTGAACTCCCGGACAATGAGAAACAAGACGCCAGTAATCCATGGCAGGTATCGGAATCAAAATGAATCAAGGTATCATTTGTGGTTTGCAGTAAGCAAGTGCTAACAGGGACATGCACTGGAAACCCAAGAGGCTTTAAGCTCTACTAGACCATAAAGAACTGTGACGCCGCACTGATTCTTCCGAGCACAGTGGAGCACTCACACAGAAAAAATAACGAGCTCAGGTCCGACTCTCAGATCAATTCTCTTAAGAGTTTCCTGGCACCTCCAACACAATCTCTTATTTTTTGTGATCACAGAGCTAATTTAAATGAAAAAATACAATATTTACTATTGCGGGTAGTTAAATTAAAACAATAGTTGCATTCACAATATCACCAAGTTTCTCCTCTGAAATTTAGGACATGCATTAAGTAAACAATGGGATCCTCAAACTTTCAGTGAAGTCATTTAGTTAGACCCAGATGCAACTAACCAACTTAAACTCTCAAGTTCTTTTGAGCCTCCCTTACCAGTAGGAAGTAGCTTCCCTCCCATACCGGGGAGACTAGCCTTCTGCTGCTTAAAATTCCTAGGATAACCTTACACAGGGCAAATACTATGAAAGAGGATATTCATTTCCATTAAAACCTACCCTAACTGTTCCTGATGTCACTAAACAGGTATACACTATGACCAAAGGAAATACATTAAACACCAGAAGAACTGCAAGACTCTGACAATAAACAGAAACCCATGGAGCATGTGTGGAAATGCATTCAGGAGGTGTCAGATTAAGGAGGGTGAAATTAACACTCTATCTGGTCTACTTCATTGATATGTGACCACTGGCTATAGCAGAGGCCAGCAAACTGTCTTTGTAAATAAAATTTTACTGGAACACAGCCATATCCTTTCATCCCATATTGTCTGTGGCTTTCATGCTACAATGGCAAAGTAGACTATTTTGACAAAAATCATGTGACCTGCAACACCTAATATTTACTACGTGACCCTTTACAGAAAAGGTGCTGACTCCTAAACTAGAGACCCCAGATTTAATGTTAGCTCATGCAGGTGGAGGTGGCACTAACAACCTACTTGGGTGGCCGACTGAAACTGGACTGAACAAAGGCCTATGTTTAATAAAGCTGAGATTCCAGAGTTTCCTAGCACAATAAGGAGGGATTCAAAACCTTAAAGAGGTATGAAAGTTCGACTTGATTTATCATTTACACACCAACCTCCCACTTATGTTCCATGAGAGGACCCACCAGACACTCCATTTACTTAGGTATTGAGAAATATGAGGTCTGTCCGGAAGAAGTCCAGCCATTGTTAACATACTGAGAACAGTTTGTGCGACACTGATGTAACCTGGCAGCCAAGGAGAGGGGACTGGAATGTGCATGCGTGAACAATGATGACTGCTGTACTAGTCAGTGGGGGTGGTAGACAGAGCTGAGTGAGTACGTGTACCGTGTGGCCATTGCACTCAAAATGACTGAGTAGAGCAACAAATCTGCATCAAATTTCACATTAAGTTTGAACATTCCTCCATGGAAACTAGAAATTATTCATATGATTCTGAAGGCCACAGCTGTGGGCAACTGGCGACTGACAGCTTCATCATGACAACACACCTGTTCATGCGTCACCTCTCATGCAGTTTTTTGGTGAAACATCAAATCACACTGGTGACTCAGTCCCCTTGCAGTCCAGATTTGGTGTCCTGGGACTTCTGGCTTTTCCTAAAACTAAAATCACCTTTGCAAGAGAAGAGATTTCAGACCACCCATGAAATTCAGGAAAACAAGACAAGGCAGCTGATGGTGAGTGGGAGAACTGTGTGAGGTCCCAAGGTGCCTACTTTGAAGGGGACTGAGGTGTCACTGTCTTATGTACACTGTTTTTTGTATCTTCTATGTTCTTCAATAAATGTCTCTATTTTTCATACTACATGGCTAGATACCTTCTGAACAGACCTTGTGTGACCCCCTGCAACCTTCTTAAAGCTCTGCGGTCACCCCTCTTTGCAGAACAGGCATGCACATGGGAGATGCCACCACTGAGATGGACTCTCTGATTTCAGTGGGGATGATGGGATCCTGGAGTAGCTGAGGCTTAAGCAGCAGCACTTCACCACCACAGTCCAGGTGAGCATGGCAACTGTAAATGGCATCAGCTACCAAGGAGAATCTTAATCATCAGGTATAAAATGACATTCTTTGAAGATATCCATCAACTCCCTTCCCTACGACACCAGCGCCGATGCAATGGACCCATGAACAAAGTGGCCACGGCAACAGGGATAGAGAATGTGAATGGGCCCCAAAACACAGACTCCCCCTTACTAAAGCTAGTCTGGCTGAGTACCTAATCTGACAACACTGCAGAACAAACCTGAGTGCCCAATACAGCACCATAAGGGATAAAGGGGGTGGGGGACAAGCCAACCACCTGGGAGCGGATTGCTTATACTGGTTATCACCTTCACATACTCAGCATATGGATTTGCCTGTAACGCTTCAGCCAGCACCACCACTGACAGACCCAAGGAATGCATAATTCACCATCATGGCATTCCATACGGCTTTGTATCTAATCAAGAAACACACTTACTCATTTCACAGCAAAGAAAGCACAGCAATTTGCTCATATCCATAGAATTAATTGGTCTTACAACATACTCCTTGATCCAGAAGCAGCACACCCATTGGAAAAGTAGAACAGCGGCCCTAGCTGGGAGCTGAAAACCTAAAAACCTCCTTTGCAAGCTACAGGTTATGCTTTCAGGAACAAAGCATCAGACGGTGCGCTCAGATGGC